GTAATTCATTTGGTCCTATTTCATGACCTACATTTTCCTATATTTAAAGCATTTGAATTTTACCAGCATTTAAAAAAATTGAAACCACATATTTAAATGGTCTTCATGAATTGTTTAATTCTGATAAGAAAAATGAAAGACATGATATTCTTGGAACATCAGAGCAAATGGTAAAAATAGTAAAAGGGCACGTGCTTGCAGGAGTCTTTCTTGAAACCACATTGAACTCTCATTGGCAGTGTCAGCAGGTTAATTAAGAAATCTCTTAGGTATGGCACATGTTCAATACAGATTGACATTACTTGGGACATGGTTATAGCAAACGCTTGTTCATCAATACTCACCCAACTGATTGACCTAAGTTAAAATTAGAAAAGTGCCACTTGCTTCAAGGATTAAATGCCTGCAAAATCACTGCATGGAAGAATGAGAGGCAACCATTTGAGGAACACAGGAAGATAAATAGCATTCAGTGTCAGACTATTGAAATGGTCTGTTCACTTCAGTGAGTCTAAAGGATGTTTTAGAAGGCAGCAAAGTAGATATTTTCATGACTTCAGTCTCAGGAAATAAGGAAAGCCCTTCTTTTATCCTTAACTTTCAGACTTACTCTCAGAGCTTCAAGGGATTTAAGAGATCACCAAATCCAAATTCCTCTATTTGTAGGGGGCGGGGGGAAAAAAAAACAAAAAACCCAGCAGAGAGATATTAAACTGCAGGAAGAAGAGAGGATTAAAAAGAGACTTGTATTATATTGTATTATGTTAAAACGAAACTAATGGTTGTATTAAGGAAAATATAGCAGCATGATAATTAATTTTCAGAATTATAAAATAATACTATTTTATGGAAAATCTTATTAAAATTTTTGAAAAACTATTTTCAGTTCTCCTTTTAAGTAATAAAATATGTTCTGATCACGGAGAAATCTCTGGTTCAATAAAATACAGAAGACAAAGAGTAATTGCATTATCACTGCATAATTTGTGACCAAAAGAGAGACAGCAGCAAAGAACATAAGTAGAGTCTGAGCAGGTTTAATCATACATTTAACTGCTCTTGTCCTATCCTCTGGCTCCCTGAAAACAGACATTACTTCTTGTGTCAATAAGAAAGTCACTCTACATAAATGAAGTTAGTGATAGTAGGAGACTGAGAACCTGCAATTAAAAAGCCACCTTTGGAAAGGCCTGGAGAGAAATTTAAGTGTTCATGCTGCAAAGTACTAGATCATGAAAGGAAAAAAATCAGATATAATATAAAAGCCATTAAACTGATTCTAAGTGATTGGTCACTCCTTACTGCCGCATATATCTATTGTTTCTTCCTCTAGGTTGGACATAATCAATGTCAATGTCGTGATTGTTCACAACTCCATGAGCCCTGCATAAATCCACCTGTTGGCATGGTTACCAGAAGGTAATTTAATCTGTAGTGCCACTGATTTTAATAAGAAGGTTAACTAAACAGACTGGCTAAAAATTGGAACAATTTAGCCACTTACTACTTAGATTGCTCTCTCTATTGCTTGGATAGGCCAAGGAGTGTCAAGTTTTCCCAGAGGGTAGTTGGCACAGAAGCAGATGTCACCATAAGTGACTTTCCTGACACCATGGCACAAGCTAGTAGAAAAGCTAGGATCTAAGCAAGGCCTTGGGATCACTTACCCAGGGTTCTTTCTACCTTACCAGTTATTTACTCACTGTGTCAAATTCACTGCCACAGTGTATAATTTCAGAATATATATATCTAACAGTATAAATACATGCCAGAGGCAGATCAAGTATAACGATCAGTATTTTCCAGAGCCCAGCTCCCGCTCTATTTCGTAACAGCTCAATCTAAGCAATATTGTCTTTTATTTTCCATCACACCACCAATTCCCAGTTAGAGACTAATTTACATGAGGATGCAATTCCCTTATTTTCAATATTACCCCAAATCTCAGAATCCTGAAGAAAAGTCTCTAGTTGCTACCATCCAGTCTGATATAAGCATCTACATTCGATGTCCCAAACCTTATTGCCCTTGACTTGTCAGCAATTTGCCTGCCCTCTGTCATGTTACCACCCATGAGACATGCTCCTTGATAAACATTAGCTAATAAATAATCTCAAGCAATTGTGTTCTCATGATTTTGCCTTACTGAGAGCCAGAAAAACCAAGGCAGTATAGCTCAAGCTTTTTATTATATAAATAAGGAAATTTTAGCCCAAGAATTTTACTCCTCATCTAACATCCTGAAAACAGAATTAAGAACTACAACTTAAGATTCTGGACACCTAACAGAACGGGTATTTTCTCTTCCTCAAATCATGTCAATTAAGCTGTCATTATGAAGAACTGGCCTAAAACACACAAATCATTCTGACATGATGTTAGCTAATATGACTCTTTGAATCTTCAAGTGGATATAAAATTAATCCACAAGAGTATAGCACATTAATGTGTAAATTATGCACTGCTGTGAAGTGTGTAACATAAAAAAGGACTAAAACAATGTTTGACTCTTTAAGCACTGCACATATTTCAAAAAAAGAATACTTGATTTCACACAAAATTGAAAACCATTTCAATTTGCCACAAAATTGAACTATAATGTTCAGAGTGTACTTGGGAAAACTTGAATGTTCACATAATAAGTTAAACCTGGGTTATTTCATTTCTATGCAACCCTTTTTTCAGAAAAATTACTTTCTAGCTAAAAAGGAAATAATTGTTTTGACAAGTTCCACCGGATTCATTGACAGATAAAATTTCTTTGGTTTTTGTTTTGATCTTTGATAAACATTTAATAATTATTGGGAAAGTATTTAATTTCTTCATTAAAAGTGGTTATCTAAGAAACTATAGTGAAACAGTGAAATAACAAGCTAAAACTGTGAAACAGTGAAATAACAAGCTAAAACTGTGTTATAAAAATAGTGAAAAAAATTTCTGGATGAATATAAAAGCTATTGGCTTAATACAATGTTATGGCAAATTAATCATCTTTTTTTTCTTAATCTGATAAGCTACTGCTATTCTTATTTGTCACTCGTAATGGCATTAACTTTGTCCCAGTCATTCACTAAAAAATATAGTCTTATTCAAGTTTTCTGTTTTCTGACCATCTCCTATCCAAAGAGCAAGCAGTTCCTATAGCATCTACTTTTTCAATGTTTTATAAATGCACATTGTACTTTCCCTTCCCTTTATTACAGTCTCAGTGCAAGTATAACTGGTATTTGCTTCCCTCTAGACTCAGTCAGTAGGAATCATCTGGTACCTGGCTGGAAGACTGATGTTGTGTCAACAAAGTCCAGCCTTTGTCATTGTTCTTTCCTTAAAAAATATTTATCACTCCCCTATTATACTAGGGTATGGCTCAAGTTCCTTACTTTTACATTTAAGAGTTTCTATGATCTGAACTAAAGCTTTCTTTCTGTCCTTGATAATATCTCATTGAGGTCCCCATGCTCTAAAGTAATGATATCTAATGATGGAAATCCTTATATCTACTATGTCCAATATGGCGGCTACTAGCTCCATATGTCTTCTGAGCACTCCGTAGACATACTGAGCATATGTGGCTAATGTAACTGAGGAACTGAAATCTTGATTTAATATAAATTGTGTAGCAATATGTAGCTAGTGGCTAGTATACTGGATAGTTCAGCTCTGAAGTAGTGGGTCTCAAACTTTAGAGTACATTAGAATCACATAAAGGACTTGTGAAAACAGATGGCTAGACTCCATTCCAGATTCTTTGAGCTTACAGATAAAACCCAGGAATTTGAATTTCTAAAAAAGTTCTCAAATTATGCTGCTGGTTGGTCTGCAATGCAAATTGGAGAATCACTTTCCTAGACAAGTTTAAATCCTTGTTGTCTCTTGAACAAATCCAATACATGTATTTATATCTGCATGGGTTTCTGTCTGTAAAGTTACATTATTCCTTGCTTTAAATTTACTTACATGCCTGCTTCATAAAATAATAAATTACTTGAAAACAAAGATTATGTCTTTGTCATATTTGCAAGACCTAAAATGTCTTGCACAGTCATATTAACATAAACATAGGAAAGGGATTTTTTGATTGAAATATAAACCAGTTGGTTTTCAAAATACTAAACATTAAAACTTATTTTATTCATTCTAAATTTAAATTGTAATTAGGTAAAGAAATTAGTTATAAAACCATATAAAATACTCTAAAGTTAACTTTAAAATTTGGATTACATAAATTTGAGGAGACATTTATTTCCATTAAGACACTTATATAATAATACTTCAGTTGCATAAGTAATTATATTTCTGAAGTAAAAATGACAAATATCACAGATATTAAAAAAGTAGTTAATGTCAAAAGGTATTAAAAGCTGTTAAAAAATAAGGCAAATCTACCTCTCTCAATGGATTTTTCAAACATATGAGAAATACTTTTTAGCAATTTTCAACTTTGTCTACATAACTCAGTTCTTTAAAAAAGTAAAACTAGCTCACATTTTCTGTTGAAATGAGACTCAATACCAAAGAGAACGAGGTATCATTAAAATGAAGCTCAAGGTGATACAAGCATCAGAAGAAATGTTTCCAAGATCTTGCAGCAGTGTGGCTAGTTAAGACCAGACGATTAGTTCCTTGCTGTGATAAGCCACCTTCAAACCTGCAATTCGAAAGAAGCCACCTATAGAGAAATCACTTCTACTTCTTTTTAAATTATAGTAAGTCACCAACAAATTATGTTTCTTCAAGCCATCAAAGAAGTTTGCTCAGCACATTTTTCAAACAAATTCACTCTATAGTATTAGAGACTCAAAAATAAGTGACTGTTTCATTAACCAAATCACAGTTTTCCCATTTCACACTAATAGAGGCCATTACATAGACTCTAAGGAATGTGGTTAATGAATAAACACTCAAAATCATAGCACAGGGAAGAGCCTTGATGGCATCATCTGGCCTTAACTGAACATTATCTGTTGCTAGGTAACCGAAGATAATAAAAAGGGGTCTGAAGCAGGCCAGCAATGAAAACTAGCCTCAGCCAATCTTTAATAAGAGTCCTGCTGCCACCAGTACCATTAAGTTTGTAGGAGGTCCAAAATCAAAATGCAGCAGCAAACTTGAAGAGGCAAAGTTTCTTTTACCCCATGATCTAATGTCCACCTTTCTATACCAATAAAAGGTAAGGCTGACAATAAATTCTCTAAGAAAAAAAAAAAAATCCATGCTCCTTGGACTCTGAGAAAGTAATTTCTAATATTTTATGACAGCCATTCTAATGTTCATTCAGCAAATATCTAAAAGCTTTAAATAAATTCAGTAAGTGTCCTAGGTAGATGACTTGTTTTGATTGATAGTGTTTTTGTTTTGTTTTGTTTTCTGTTGTTTTTGTTACTTTGATTTTTGTTAATGTAATTTATGTTCCCTTTTGCACACCATAATCCCAGCACTTTGGGAGATCAATACAGGTTGATTGTTTGGGCCCAGGAGTTCAGGACCAGCCTGGGTGACCAGCCCATCTCTACAAATAATAATAATAAATTAGCCGGGTATGGTGCTGTGCACGTGTGGTAGCAGCTACTCAGGAGGCTGAGGTGAAAGGATGGCTTGACCCCAGGAGGTGGAGGCTGCAGAGAGCCATAACCATGCCACTGCACTCTAGCCTGGGTGACAGACCGAGACCCTGTCTTAAAATAAAATAAAATAAAATATCTTTAGGAAAAAAATATCTACCTGGGCAAATCAACATAAACAGGTTGCTAATTTTAATGCTGAAGTTACTGGGATCTTAAATATGTGTGACGTGGAAGCCTTATGAGTCATTTATTCCACTTGTTCACACCTTTAATCAAGTAGTACTTCATTAGAGGCTACATAGGAATTTAACTGGTAGAAAATGTTAAGTACCTTGCTTTACTGTCTCAGAACTATTTCCAGTCCTCCATGGCTCCCTAGGTATAAACCAGGAGTCCTGTTAATTCTAGTTTATGCTTCCTTTCTATTTATGTTCTACTGCCTGTAGTTTCTACAGCATAAGCCTCTTGCAGAATTGCTAATAGAAAGACCCACACATACTTTCAACTGCCAGTTCAATTTGCTCAGGGAGAGTCTTCTCATCACCAAGAAATACCAGGTTCTATAGTGGGCAGCATTGGTGGAAGGCAATTCACTATTTCAGGAAGAGGGATGTGTAAAATTTTTCATGCTCATCAAAGAAGTAATAAGTTAAAAACAATTCAGAAACAGTTCTATCAATATTAAACATTCGTCTGTCTACCTTAGCTGGTTTGGCAATTACTTTTCTTTCTGTTTGCAATCTCCTTCCCTATCTTCTCATGATTAATGTCTGTATGTCCTTTAAGACCAAACTTAGGTAACATTTTCTCCGAAAGCCTACCTATGAACATTAGACTGGATTTATGTGACCAGTCTCTCACTTAGATTGCCAAGTCCTTCAATAGAGATTGCTGATTACTCCTCTTGGGATCATAGGTATCTAGGAATATTCTTGTCACATAAGAGATGTTCAAATAATGTCAGATGAACTGCAATGAACTAGACTTTCAATCTAAGTAATTGATCCTATCTCTTATCTTACTGAAAAGCATGAAAAAGAAAAAATGTCTCCCCCTCCAATGATAAATGTCTGTTGCATCATAATCTGTTCTTTTGCATAGCCTTGTTCTACAGCCTATACTTATTCTACCCTTTTCTTCTCTCATAGAGAAACAAGTCTGTCCTCTTTTCCAAAAATAATACCTATGCTCCTTGCGAACTCATTCTATAAATGAATTGCATAGCTTTTTTCTTAAAAAGCCTCACTCTTCTCCTGACCCATTTCATTGGCCTACAAACACGTTCAGTTTACTTAGTCTAAAATCCTCTTGAGAGATCTTACCATACCCTTGAATTAGAATTCTCTTTTTTCATTTGACTCACACATTTTCCCAAATAAATCTTCTGATCAGTAAACAATCAAAAATGTTTGTCAATAAATGAGGACAGAAAGTGAGGAGATACTGAGAAGCTGATTTGTAACTGTAAAATAATAAATGTGCTGGTAGAAGGCAATAAAATATACTATTTACATAAAGACTAGCATGGTACTTAAGCTCTACTTTCTCATCAAACCATCACTCATTGAATGCTTAAGTTGTTGCAGCTCAAAAGGCACTAACTCTGTATGAGAATTTACCTGATACCTAAATTCTGACTTTTTGTGGGAATGTTAATTTCATGTTAGAAATCTTAATTTCGAACACGTATGGTATATGTAAACTTCCTCTGAAAATACTTATCTGCTATGTGAAAAAGTTTTGATAATTTTAATTTGTTGTTGATATTATTTGGTTTGATTTGGTTTAGTTTGGTTCGTTGTGTGGAGTTCATTTTATGTTACAATAGACATGATTTAATTGTTTGAAGGGTTAGTGAAGATGGATGGTGGATGGTGGGGATGGAGAAGGGGAAGAAGATTCAAACTTTCTCTGTACAATATTGAGACATACCTGTCACTAGAAAATGCTTATTGCTACAGAAGCAGTTACCAAACAAATAAATTCTTGTGTCATCAAGCAAATAGAATTCAAGTTGAAAGAAATTATATTTATATTTGACATTTTAGCTATCTCTTTGTGAAGTGAGAGATTACTTAAATTACCTTGTAAGACCTCATTGTGGTAGATTATTCAATCCAAATTTAAGTATGGTACCCTGTGTCCTCACCTTAGGTTAATGTCTTACCACATGGACTAATAGGCGTGGTCATGTGACTTGCTTTGGCTAATAGAATATAACAAACAAATATAATGCAAGCAGATTTTTTTAAATGCTCTACCTTGGTTGTTGGGTTCTTGTTGTTCTTGGAATGAATTTCCATGTGAACAAGACTGGGCTAGCCTGCAGGAATGAGCAGTTGAGTTAAAGCCTTAGATCAACCAGCTCCCATGGGATTATAAATACATGAAGGCACCCAGGCAAAACCAGAACTCTTCAGCTAAGTGCAGCCCAAATCACTAGCCAATAACTGAGTACTATAGTCTGAAATTTTTAGCTTATAATAATTGTCACTTTGGGGTAATCACAGGATTCTGTCAGAGACAAATTAATTGTGCTAATAGACTGGTAGTAAACACAATGTTTAGTAGTAATATATTAGCTGTGCATACTTAAGCAAAGCAATGAAGGATTAAATTTCATAAAGTGCAAGTACTTATATTGATTTATCCTGTAAATTCTTCAATAACATTGAATTTATAAATAAGACAAATTCTAGAATATAAATATGATCCTCTATAGTAACCATTCATTATTTTTAAATGTGGATATCATATATTCCATTACCTCTACCCTGTTGCATAAGTATTTAATATATAAAAATACAGTATTATTTAATTTGCCATATTTTTCTCATTCTCAGATTTTAAATGCATACTATGTTTCAGTGCCCAATATTCTTGACTATTTGAGTCTGTATGCAATATTTGTAGTAAGCAAATACAAGCTAATAGTTGACAAAAATCACAATTTCTTAATCCAGATAATCCTTGGATAAGCATGAAACAATGAAAACCCAGAATGATTTATGAGCTATAAAGTACTGTAAGCTACAACATACTGTAAAGATTATTACAGTACTTTATAAATCCATCTGCCTTAAAGAGCATCTATTTAATATTCAGATTTCTTAATCTGATAGTTTACTGTATATACTACATATTTATTCATTTATAAAATATAATATTTATCTAAAATAGAGTTCATGTCTAAAGATTTTAGTTTACACAATGACTACATAGCTGCATAAACTACAACATTTATTTGTACTAAATTTAAAGTTCTACATACTGTTAAGCTCTACCTGGCTAAGTCATTGTTGTTCTTCTGCCAAAAAGAAAGGTGAGATATAGCAACATAAATGTGAAGATACTGCAACGTATTCAGTTAGTATCATCTCTTGAACAGCAAATAATTTTTTGCAGAAAAAACCCAGAAACTTTTATGAAGCTGGCATAAGGGTTGTTAAAATACTATTTATATATACAGAAGGCAGATTTCATCGATCTTCAAGTTACTAAAACATCTTCATGCAGAATAATTTGATCTTGTTTGTTTTTATTATGTTTGTGTTAATGTTTTTTATGTTTTCTCTGTTCTTCAGATGATTGTGTGAGATGAAGTTGTGATAACTGGATAGCCATGGAGCTGAGTGCCCAAAGCCAAAACAAAACAAACAGAGCCAAGACAAGAAGTGCAGATGAATTCCAGGAGTTGGAATATGGCCAAGAATCAAAATATATGTTAGTATTAGGGTTTATATAATCAGCAATATCATGGGAAACAATAAGCCATAGCCAAATAACATCCTAGAATCAATTATGAAGAAAAAAAGAACTTTGAGGGCTTTTGAATTTTTGCTGAGTGATTAATATGTTATGAATAGTATGTTCATACTTAGCCTAGATTATATAATTTAATCCTCACCACAGTCTTGTGAGGTAGTTATTGTTGTATTGGTGTTTTCATTCTATCAATGAGGAACAGGCACAGATAAATTATGTGACTTGCCTAAAGGTCACTAAATTTAAATGGTTGAAACATAATAAAATCCCAATCATGTAAGAGTTGAAAGCCTGTCCTTTAAATTTGGTATTGTGGCAAGACAAAAGGAGCCTAATTGCTGAGCTAAACTTTTGCCTTTGCCCCAGAATTATTGTATTAGCATTCCCAATATGTTAATGTGTTTTTGCATTTTTATAAAGGAATACCTGAGACTGGATAATTTGTAAAGAAAGATATTTTACTGGCTCATGATTCTGCGGGTACAAGCATAGCACTGGCATTTGCTCAGCTTCTGGCGAGGCCCCAGGGAGCTTATACTCATGGCAAAAGGTGAAGCAGGAGCAGGCATATCATATGGCAAAACAAAAAGCAGGAAAGCAAGAAAGAGATTAGGAAGGTTCTAAACTCTTTTTAACAATAAGAACTTGCTGCAACTCATTACCATGCGGAGGGCACCAAACCATTCATGAGAAATCCGCCCCCATGACCCAAACATCTCCCATTAGGCCCACCTCAAATATTGAGGGTCACATTTCAAAATGAGATTTGAAAGGGACAAACATCCAAACCATATACCCAGTCTCACTAGCACTTTATTAATGACCCAGTCTTTAAAATGACCACTGCCACTATATCCCTGGCACTGCTTTGTAAATTACAAATAGAGTGGTGGCTTCTCTGTCTAATGTAACTCTCTAGTAAGCTTGAATTATTTTAAACTCTCTATCTATCTATCTATCCATCTATCTATCTATCTATCTGCCAACACAAAATGAACAAATCATGAAATAAATGTTTATTTATTTGGCTAACACCACCCATCAGAATGTAGTGACCAGCAGTCCAGGAATACCTTGGTTCTCCCAGTGCAGTGGACTCCAAACTCTGGGGAGTCAGAAAACAAAGTTGGGGCTGGATGCAAGTTTCCCATTGCTAAAGCATGCAGTCCAGGAGCTGGGAACTAGCATTGGCCCCCTAAGATCCAGAAATGAGGCCAGTCTACTGAATCTCCCTTAGACCACAATCAAACCCTCAAGGTCATCAAATAAGATAAAAGAAAAAAAAATTCAAAGTATAGAAACCTCAAAGATTGAAGAAACATCAGCCCACAAAGCTGGGAAAGAACCAGCACAAGAACTCTGAAAACTCAAAAGCCAGAGTGCCTTCTTTTCCCCAAACAACCACACCACCTCTCCCGGAAGGGTTTAAAAATGGGCTGAGATAGCTAAAGTGCCAGAAATAGAATTTAGAATATGAATAGAAATAAAGACCATTGAGATGAAGGAATACACTGAAACTCAGTGCAAGAAAGCTAAGAATCACAATAAAACAATACAGGAACTTATAGACAAAATAGCCAGTATAGAAAAAAATTGTAACTTACCTGATATAGCTGAAAAAACACACTACAAGAATTTCATAAGGAAATCACAAGAAGTAATAGCAGAACAGATGAAGCAGAGAAAAGAATCTCAAAGCTGGAACACTGGCTTTTTGAAATAAGACACACAAGCATAACAATAAAAGAATGAAAACGAATGAACAAAACTTCGAAGAAATATGAGATTATATAAAGTGACCAAATCTACGACTCATCGGTGTCCTTGAAAAACACAAAGAGGGTGTAAGCAACTTGGAAAACATTTCATGATATTATCTATGAGACCTTCCCCAACCTAACTAGAGAGGCCAACATTCAAATTCAGGAAATGCAGAGAACCCCAGTAAGATACTTCACAAAAAGAACATCCACAAGAGAAATAATTTTCAGATTCTCTGAGGTCTAAATGAAAGAAAAATGTTAAATGCAGCTGGAAGAAGAATCAAGTCACCTACAAAGGAAAGCCCATCAAACTAACAGCTGACTTATCAGCAGAAATCCTACAAGCTAGAAGAGATTCAGGGCCAATATTCAACATTCTTAAAGAAAAGAAATTGCAACCCAGAATTTCATATCAGGCCAAACTAAACTTCAAAAATGAAGGAGAAATAAGACTTTTGTAAGCCAAGCAAATGCTGAGGGAATTTGTTACCACCAGACCTGCCTTACAAGCACGTCTAAATAAAGCACCAATATGGAAAGAAAAGACGATTAACAGCCACTACAAAAACACTCTTGTTGTTGATGTTGTTGTTTTTGTTTTATTATACTTTAAGTTCTAGGATACATGTGCAGAACATGCAGTTTTGTTACTTAGGTATACATGTGCCACGGTGGTTTGCTGCACCCAACAACTCGTCATCTACATTAGGTATTTCTCCTAATGCTGTCCCTCGCCTAGGCCCCCAACTCCTGACAGACCCTGGTGTGTAATGATCCACTCCCTGTGTCCACGTGTTCTCATTGTTCAACTCCCATTTTTGAGCGAGAACGTGCGGTGTTTGGATTTCTGTTCCTGTGTTAGTTTTTTGAGAATTATGGTTTCCAGCTTCATCCATATACCTGTAAAGCACATGAACTCATTCTTTCTTATGGCTGCATAGTATTCCATGGTGTTTACGTGCCACATTTTCTTTATCCAGTCTATCACTGATGGGCATTTGAGTTGGTTCCACGTCTTTGCTATTGTGCTGCAATAAACCTACATGTACATGAGTCTTTATAGTAGCATGATTTATAATCCTTTAGGTATATATCCAGTAATGGGATTGGTGGATCAAATGATAATTCTAGTTCCAGATCCTTGAAGAATCACCACACTGTCTTCCACAATGGTTGAACTAATTTACACTCCCACCAACAGTGTAAAAGTGTTCCTATTTCTCCACATCCTCCCTAGTATCTGTTGTTTCCTAACTTTTTAATAATCACCATTCTAACTGGCTTGAGATGGTATCTCATTGTAGTTTTGATTTGTATTTCTCTAATGACCCGTGATAATGAGCTTTTTTTCATATGTTTGTTGGTCATATCAATGTCTTCTTTGGAAAAGTATCTGTTCATATCCTTCACCCACTTTTTGATGGGGACGTTTGTTTGTTTTCTTGTAACTGTGTTTAAGTTTCCTTGTAGATTCTGGGTATTAGCCCTTTGTCAGACGGATAGATTGTAAAAATTTTCTCCCATTCTGTAGGTTGCCTATTCACTCTGATAGTTTCTATTGCTGTGCAGAAGCTCCTTAGTTTAATTAGATCCCATTTATCAATTTTGGCTTCTGTTGCATTGCTTTTGGTGTTTTAGTCATGAAGTTTTTGCTGTGCCTATGTCCTGAAAGGTATTGCCTAGGTTTTCTTTTAGGGTTTTTATGGTTTTAGGTCTTACATTTAAGTCTTTGATCCATCTTGAGTTAATTTTTGTATAAGATGTAAGGAAGGGGTCCAGTTTCAGTTTTCTGCATATGGCTAGCCAGTTTTCCCAACATCATTTATTAAATAGGGAATCCTTTCTCCATTGCTTGTTTTTGTCAGGTTTGTCAAAAATCAGATGATTGTAGATGTGTGGTGTTATTCCTGAGGCCTCTGTTCTGTTCCATTGGTCTATATGTCTGTTTTGGTACTAGTACAATGCTGTTTTGGTTACTGTAGCCTTGTAGTATAGTTTGAATTCAGGTAGCATGATGCCTCCAGCTTTATTCCTTTTGCTTAGGATTGTCTTGGCTGTACAGGCTCTTTTTTGGTTCCACATAAAATTTAAAGTAGTTTTTTCCAATTCCATGACGAAAGTCAATGGTAGCTTGATGAGAATAGCATTGAATCTATAAATTACTTTGGGCAATATGGTCATTTTCACAATATTCATTCTTCTTATCCATAAGCATGGACTATTTTTCCATTTTTTTGTGTGTGTCTTCTCTTATTTCCTTTATTTCCTTGAGCAGTGATTTGCAATTTTCCTTGAAGAGGTCCTTCACATCCCTTGTAAGTTGTATTCCTAGGTATTTTATTATCTTTGTAGTAATTGTGAATGGGAGTTCACTCGTGATTTGGATCTCTTTTTGTCTATTATTAGTGTATAGGAATGCTTGTGATTTTTGCACATTGATTTTGTATCCTGAGATTTGCTGAAGTTGCTTATCAGCTTAAGGAGATTTGGGCCTGAGATGATGGGGTTTTCTAAATATACAATCATGTCATCTGCAAACAGACACAATTTGACTTCCTCTCTTCCTCTTTGAATACCCTTTATTTCTTTCTCTTGCCTGATTGCCCTGGCCAGAACTTCCAATACTATGTTGAATAGGAGTGGTGAGAGAGGGAATCCTTGTCTTGTGCTGGTTTTCAAAGGGAATGCTTCCAGCTTTTGCCCATTCAGTGTGATATTGGCTGTTGGTCTGTCATAAATAGCTCTTATGATTTTGAGATATGTTCCATCAATGCCTAGTTTATTGAGAGTTTTTAGCAGGAAGGCTGTTGAATTTTGTTGAAAACCTTTACTGCATCTATTGAGATAATCATGTGTTTTTTGTCATTGGTTCTGTTTATGTGATGGATTACATTTATTGATTTGCATGTGTTGAAACAGGCTTGTATCCCAGGGATGAAGCTGACTTGGTCATGGTGGATAAGCTTTTTGATGTGCTGCTGAATTCAGTTTGCCAGTATTTTATTGAGGATTTTTGCATTAATGTTCATCAGGGATATTGGCCTGAAATTTTCTTTTTTTGTTGTGTCTCTGCCAGATTTTGGTATTAGGATGATGCTGGCCTCATTAAATGAGTTAGGGAGGAGCCCCTCTTTTTCTACTGTTTGGAATAGTTTCAGAAGGAATGGTACCAGCTCCTCTTTGTACCTCTGGTAG